GTCTTTGTATTGGCTATAATGTTTCTCATTATGGAATAGTAGTACATTGTGAAAAACCTAATGCGAAATGCGGTAGGTTCCGCTAGAGAAAAAAAGGTGTACATCATGTACCAGCTGTTTGACAAGAAGTTTGACATATTTGTTATTCGATAAGCCTAAGTCAGAAAATTGTAGAGAAGCATCAGCTACTGCATCTTAGGAAAATATAATACCTTCAGACTGAGTTCCATTGCTGTAGAGTTATGTGCATATTTGTATGTTAATTATTCAGTAATTACAGGTACAGTTTCAATTCGTGCTTCTTACGGATACCATATATTCTCCTCTGCCTCCTGACCTTCTGCCGCCCGGTGAAGACCTTAGTCGTCGCCCGTATCCAAAAACGGTCGTGGCTGTTGATGTGCAAGATTTGAAGAACAGCGCCATGCATTACTGGAGCCTGGAAAAGTTGAAGTATTTGCTTTGAAATTTAATTCATTGTTATAAGTTTGAATAAATAGGTAGCGCTTGCTTACACCTGTTTGAAATATGTAGAAGTACTTCGGAAATCATAGGTCAAAAGGTCAACGAATGCTTTCACTTCTTTGTTGCTGCTAGCAGAGTTACTTTTCACAAGAAAGCGGCGCGTTTTTGTTTATCGTATTTTTTCTATGGTTGTACATTCTTTCCTTAAATTTTACATCGTTGCCATATTGCAAAGCAAGAACAATAGACTAAAAAAGTTCTTTCCACCCAAGCACAAATACGATTAAATGTGCTCTCCTGAACCTTGAGGCTTATCATGAAGCCTGAAACGGTTGGCTGATAAAGGAATGTTCGTGAGGGGTCGGTAGATCTCGTTTCTCTACGAGGTAAATCTGTATAAGGAAATAATACTATGGTTATGAGCATAACAGTTTAACGCTGTGGGATGTAATATTGGTGAAATAACTTCATTAGCGGCTTAGACAATTTTGCAATAAACTGTGATCGTTAAATTTTCTTCTGTCCAAATTCTCTGCGACATATGAATACATGTTTATAACATAATTTATGTGTTTTAATTGGTTAATATATTTTTAGTGGATGAATTCTGTGACGAATTAGCATCTGCTTTCTGTGAATAATAAACTCAGGCGTTGGTCCCAAATCCTGTCGGCCTTTCTTCAAGACAAACAGAAGGATGGCAGATACTGAACGCTCTGCATATTTCTTGTCTTGGGCACTGAAATTCATATTTCATATGTTTTCCATGATCAAATCCATAGTGTAGAGGTATACTTTTGAAGGACATTAAACAATATTTGTAAAAATGATTCAGTATTCTCAATCCACTGCTGGATACTCTCGCTTCACCGAATTCTCAGCCTTACTTTGAAGTTTCGTTCGAATGCACTATTCCAGTTGGCTAAGAAATACGGAAGACAGTGCAGCTGACCGGTCAAGTCAGAATGCAGTTCTAAGTTATGCGTTCAGTGCTGGACGAAATGCATATTCTTTCATATTTAGCCGTGCTCTAGCTGACATGCGCTCCACTCATTGGTCTCTGGCTCCAGCTCGCGCCAGAATCCTCGATCGAACCAGCAACACGTTCACATACACTTTTCGTATCATTTCGCCCATTCAAACTCTTAGAGCCAATGGTTTTTTCCTGAGGTTGCGGATCTGGTTTGCTGACTCAGCAGCGGGTTGGAGTAAACCATGTCGTCACCATTTCATTTCTATATCATTCACTTTAAAAGTTTCTAATAAACTTCTTCCTTATAAACGAGCTATTTATGTGATTATATTTGTAGTTCGTTCAAGAAGTGAAATATGTTGTTAGTGCGTTAACAGTCATGCTGAAGCACGGTACCAAAACCATTTCATTATATACAGCTCAGTATCAGCATATCAAGTGATAGAAGAGTAGCGATATTTCGATTTTTACCTTCAGGACTCTCAGCTGCTGCAAGAGGTACCATCACCAGCGGAAGATGGCTACTTTTCCTCGAACATGACCGTCAGATACTGTTCAAAGCGTACGTAGCGATACATCACACAGTAAACTGTACATTTCAGTTGTACATAATTAAGCCGTTTATGCTGTTTCCATTCAAGTAGTTGAATCGTTGCAGCTCCTTAAGTTGAAAACAGATATATTTCTTTCCTTGTACAGGTGCTCAGAGAAACATTTATTCCTCAGCTAATTTCTTTGGCCTTCACTGACCTCGATATTGATAAATAGTGCGCACAACCTTAAGATATACTTAAGAAGTACTTCATGGACAAATATTCTTTGAGCGTTGTTCTGTTCTAAGCATGTCTCAAACTTTCTATGAATATTAGCATATTTATTGCCTTTACCGTATATTAATTAGTTTTTTGAGGTAGGTTCCAAAAATAAAATTTTCATGATTATTTAAAAATTAAGACTTCTTATCATGATCCGATGCACGGCTTCATTCGATTCAGAGTTTTTTCAACGACTCAAAGACTGGCTACCTTTGGTGGGGTGGGTGAAAAGATATCGGTACTTTATTTCAGCACACAATTCATCTATGGCATAACAAGGGCAAGGGCCGTCTGGCGCACATGTTTGAGGAATTTTAAAATTTTCTAGCCATATTGCTCTCTGTCTTTTCGCTTCTGTGAATGACCGTTGGTATCAGCTATAATGCTGATATTTTCGACATTTACAGCGTATGAAAGAGTAATCGCGTTGAATGAAATAGTAATTTAGTAATATATTAGGCAGTTTCTTCCGGTTTATTGTCAGTTAATCTCTGCCTATAAGTTTTCTTCAGTGGAACAGTCCTCCGTAAGTGCGGATCTGCTGCGATTCAGGTCCAATGATATCATGCGCAAAGTATATACTATATAAGAATGAGGTTTATTCATATACATTGCAAACAAATTGTTCAGTCGGATAATTTACTAGTAGGAGCGTTTCAGCTTCTGTCAGTGTTCATCTTGCAGGTGGATAGAGTTGATTTCCGAGGTTGGTTCTCCTGTCCTAAGTCGCAGTAACTTTTGGAGCTAAAAACTGTATTTTTAGTGCATGCTGTTGGTTAAGTAGTTTTTTTTGGTAACAGGCTTGACAAAGGCTTGTTCACTTCCTGAGAAGTTCGTATCGTCGGTACTAGCTAATCATTCGATTGACAGATTTATTTAAGTTGTGTAGGAATAAACAGGAATGACGTTTTCATACGGTTTTCGGTAGGTCACCAACGCGTAAACAAAATTCTCAATTTTAGAATTAGTCTACTGTGCAGAAATGCACTCCCAACTCTCGTCGTGAAAGTTGTATTCGCCAAAAATATGCAGCATATCACAGTTATGCTATATCTCTATGATCATCCAAAATGTCCAACCTCCAAGTTCTATATATTTTCCATTCTGACCGATTGCCCTCCTTTTTACACCGTTCCTGGATTGCTACGACCGATTCGCTTGCGCCTACCGCGGTAATTTGCGTGTGCTGCTGACATACCCAGCCTATGCAACTGATGAGCTAATAGTAAAGATATGCAGGGTCCGTCGTGATCGATACATGTCATTCATCAGTTGGTCATCAAGCGTCCCATTCGTGTTTTTTGAATGCCACATTCTTTCTAACTGTGCGCTTATTATTGATCTATGAATATCTCATGTCTACCAGATACACCTTAAACAATTCGAATTTTCCAATTTTGGTAGCAGGGGGTATATATACATAGGTCTGGATAAGTCTGAGCTGTACACTGAGCTTAAACATAACCTAGCATGAGCCTAACATCAAGTCCCAGCTTAAGCGTCAGTTTAAGACTTCTGCTTAAGACAGCTAAACATTGAGCATAGGTCTGAATTTAAGTCTAAGCTTTAGCTTATGTTTAATATAAACTTTAATCATAAACTTAAACCGGAGTAAAGGTTTAAAATGAAGCATAATTGTGAGCTTAAGCCTAAGCTTAATCGTAAATTCAGAGCTGAGCTTAATTATAAACTTAATATTAAGCTTAAAGCTGATCCTTCACATATGCTGAAGCTGGGCTTAAGCGTAAGCATACGCTTTTGCCAAGGCTAGACTTAAGTTCATGATTAAGCCTAAGCTGTGCTTAGACTAAGATCAAGTTTAGACTAAAATCAAATTTTAGCCTGGCCTTAATTGAAACATAACTTCGCTATTTTTTACGGTCCATATAAATCGGGTCAGCTTCGACATTGTCATTTTTCAGGTTTTAAATGAAAGTTGGCAAACAGAATGTTTTCCGTTTTGCCCTCTCAACTATATCGACGATCTGCAGAGAGGCCGGTTCTTTGCGTAGTAAATATAATTTCAGAGGTTAGCTGAAACAGTTTCACGGTCACCGTAGGGACCTGTATCAGTGTGATTTGGTTCCATGGTCAGATTACGATGCGTCCTTCCATTTTGCGTGTTTGTATTTAAGTGACAAGATTATTAAGTTACGCGTTAAGTAACAAGATTTGGTGATTTGGGTCAGTTATTCAGTATGGATATAAACTTGTATTTCCGTCATGGTAGAAGTCTTGAAGAAAGGTTATGTCATATTCTGCACTGGCAGCATTAAAGATTTTCCTCCCTCGACAGCGTTCATAATTAAACTCGCCAAGCGTTATTACTGAAAGCGGCATTTTGATGTTTTTGGTAGATTTGTCAGTTTTCTGTATCACCAGGAAATTCGAAGATGCAGCAAAAGTAAAGCAGAGTAACAAATTATGACAATAAACAACCGCGATGAACAAACTTATTCGCGCATGTATCATCAGTCCAGATTTCAGACCACGAAAACGACGCGACTTGAGGCACAGACAGTGGTTACTAAATTACAGTATTAAATGCGTAGATGGCGCATGTTAGATTTTAGGATGAATGGATTGAAGGCTTTATAGCTACTTTCACCTGCTTTAAAGTCTATGAAATTCACTTTTAGCATTGAAACCTGTATTAACCGGCATTCTGTCCAACCCAAACGGGTTTTCCTCATAGCTAGAACACTCGTTTGTACTCAAAGATGTTTTTGTTGTTATTGTACTTCTCCTTGTAGACAAAGGCTGACGCGTATGCGCTCCATCTACGATGCCCAGTTTCCCGTCAGTCCCGTAATTACTCCTGATTCCGCTAGTACTGAAAACGACTTGTTCCAATGTTGGTCCACGTGCTCAAATCATAGTCACTTCAACTTCTGCGATCTCACTCCCAGCAGGTGATTCGCATCGGCTGAGTGCCTTTGGTCAATTGTTGTTTTACCGCATTCGTACGATGTTTGTCACCGACTCTGAAACCGTCTCTTTCTGAAGCAGTGCCAAACTTTCCTGTCTCTTGCTGTTCTGTCTGTCTTTTAAATGCAGTACGAATGTTGCGGAAGTTCTTTGTTGCTTACCCTTTCGCTTAATGGCC